CAGAACTTTTATAATGCTTTTATAAGTATTCGCATATGGGAATGTACATTTTTAATTGGTATGTTTTTTAAACAAAGGACACAGGCTTCTGATACTGCAGTCACATACTTCATTATATGGCCTCTATGTTTCTGCTGTACAGAAAACATTTATATTGCACAACATTTTTACTGCACAAACTATTTTCAAGTCTAGTCATTTTTCCTCTCTTCTCTTTCTTTCCCCTCCAAAAAACGAAGGAAAATACAGCTTCTTCTATGACAGTATATCAATAGAGATTCACACAATCTACCAGAGACCACAAATTCCTTAAGGGTAGGTTATCCAATTCATATGTATATCCTCTACACCTAATAGAGCAACTGGCACATTGTAAACAATGTTAGCTGAATTAACTCCTCCTCCAAGTCATCATTAAAACAAAACAAAAAAAAAGACAGCACTATGATTTCCTAGTAGCAAATGGAATGAGTCCTAAAAATTAAACTGGAATGTTAAGGAGAGAAATAATACATCAGGATGAAATTCACACTTCTTCAACTAATATACTTTTTTTTTCAGCTCTAGAAGAGATCTTCCATTTAAGAGAGCAACCATAACTAAAATCTTATAAAGATTCTGTTTCTTAAAAATCAAATTCTGCTAGCTAATGTTAGAACTAAAATTAGAATCAGATTCTGCATCCCATGCTCTGGTTTGGTTACTTAAAAATTTAGAAAAATCATCAATGTGCTAGTTACTTTAAACCAGTTGGTGTTTGAACTGAGAACTACACTGCAAACACAGTAACAGTTTAAGACTTTAAAAAAAAAGCAAAAAGAATACATTAGAAAGTTCTAATCTTGGCTTCTAATCTTGGCTCTTCCAATTGTTAGTTAATTAGAGTAAATTTACTTAACTTCTTTGAATCTGTTTCTTCATTTGCAAAATGGGGACAGTTAAGGCTTGCTATGAGAAGTAAATGAAATAACTGGTTGGAATTATGATAAATTCCCAATATATGCTAGTTATATTTTATTAAAATATACAATTGGTGTCCAAGAATAAGTAAGTGAATCTGGTAGTTTTTTGACAATATAAGAACTTGAATAAAAAGGTATGAAAATTTTCATAAAAGGTATATTAAACATACTTATATAACTTCTGACATTTTTAATTATTCTAATATTGATATAAAACATTCACATATAAGAAATGGAATGATAAAAATTTCACAGGCTAAGGAACATTTTGCAGATATTATTGCAAAATATATATTTTCAACTGCTAGACCTTTTTCCCATCTATCTATGATTTAACATTATGTACATACACAATATAATGTAATAACATACAATAATATATACTACATAATATTATATACATAATAGATATATTATTGTAAATAGTTGTCATTAACTCTAATTCTGATAAACAGCTCAGCAATGTAGGTATTACCATTATGATTTTAGAGCTGGAGATTCAGTAATATCAAATAACTTATTCAGAATTACATGCTCTCTTCAACAATCCAATCCTCTTTCTTGAATTTACTTTAGCATAAACCAAACATAACAGGATCCAAAAAATCCAACTGCATGAAGTGATTAATGAGAAACAGATTTCAGTCAGCCTATAAGGTATACGTGTCAATGTCTCTTACACCCCCAAACAGTAAAGATAATATAACACACTGTACAAAACTAAATGCACAATAAACTGATAATGAAACATCACGTTTCTAACCAAATCAAGCCCACTGCTGAGGACACTCATTTTGGCTCCCCATTTAAGAACAAAGGATTAAGTGCAGACAGAAGCCAGTTGCCAGTCACATCCTAATTCTCATTATTGTGAGACGTATCATCACAGGCTTTTATTATAATAACTCTAAGCTGATGACTTAAGTCTCTAATTTCAGCTCTGACCCTGCCTGAGTGTCAAATTCAAATACCTCTCCAATTGTTTTTTGGTTTTTTTGGTGTGTTCTCCTCATTTCAATTTACCAATATCTATCAGATAACTGGCATTATAATTGGTCTCCTTTTCTTCATGCTAATTCACGGACAAAATCTGCCTATTTTCCCTTCTGTGTTTCTTTGAATCCAACCCTTACTCTACATCAGCTAGTTCAGGCCCTCAAAATCTCTGAAAGGACAACTTATACAATCTTTATATGCCTGATCCCTCACCCCCAAATCCACACTGCCATCAGTTATCTGAAATGTACACGGGAACATGACAACTTTTCTTAAAATCCTCTGAATGACCTTCACTAGATGAAGTCTAATCTCTCTAACAGAGCAAACCAAACCCTTAAGAGCTATCTATCTATCCTGCTTGTAGTACAGAATCAAACAAAAATACTGACTCCTGGTAATAAGTCATACCGGTGCTTTATTTACCAGTTCCCTTTTTGGGCACAGCCTGCATTCATCTTTAATTGGATAGCTGACACATTCCAGAACTCAGGTGCTCCAGAAAGCTTTCCTACAATTTCCTTTCTCTGTGCTTTCACAGCAACCTGTGCATAACACTATTTAAAAGTGTATTACATCACCTCCCCCTAGACTATAAGGTTTTTCATGGGCATGGTTCATATCCTCTTCTTTAGTCAGTGTCTCCATTTAGCACAGTGTATCATGTAGGCACTCAGTGAATGTTTTTTAACCAAATATTTGAACTATACAGATAATACTGGTAAAATAGGATAGGAACCTAGATTGCCGTAACTCCAAACCTTACCTTCTTTCTACTGTACCATTCTAACTCCGGCTTTGCTCTTTGCAAATAAAGCCCCAATCTAAATAAACTGAATGCCTACTATCACAAATATCTTCCACATTTTTCCTTTGCACTCTAAGAACAAGTTTTATTCTTATAATTTATGCCTTGATGAATTATAGAGATACATTAAACAATAAACATTCTGTAAAGCAATAATGAAAAACTTTGTAAAAAGAAAGCAGCAGTAACTCAAGAAAAATCCAAGCACCTATAGAAAATAAAATCATATACTCATTTTAAGTTTATGAAGATGACTTAGTATCATCAAAATTATAAAAATAAGGAAACCAAGCTTCCAATAAATTAAAGAGCTGACATTAATCAAATGATTTTTAAGTTATACTTGTACATCATGCAGATTGTTACTTACAAAACAGAATAGAATCAAATATGTAAGCAATAACCAAAATAAGAGTCAAATAGCTTCAGAAAAGCATCTGGTAAATGTTCCAAATATGTGATGTCAAACATCAGTGATAAGAAGAAATAAATGCATTTGAAGATGATGAAAACAATGCATAAACCAATGAGTTAATGAATTTCCAATGACTTATGAATGTAACCAAAATATATTTCAATTTGTAGTATTTTTAAAAATGCCAAGTACAGATAGCCAAAGGCTTAGAAACTGGATAAAAGAATTAAAGTACACAATAAAAACGTTAAGTTCTTATCCTACCTTATTTCTAATATTGAAAAACAATGCAATCCTAAAACAAACTGTGTTAAGTTAGGGTAAGTCAGATGGCATCGAATATCCAGATACCAAAACAAGGGAGAAGAAATGAACAACCATTAGAAAGTAATTCTACTTTTTCGTTATCTATACAGAGCACTATCTCTGCCTCTCCCCCGCCGCCTCCCAGCTTTCACCAAAAGTAAACCAACAAACGTTATACGTACACACAAGCTGACTCTTTTTACGATTTGAAACGCAATGGTTCTTTCTTCGCAGTTCTTCAATATTGTTTTGGCTCACCGCATTTAGTGATCATTTCTTCTCAAAATATTGTGCGCGCTTTTTCAGTCGTTATTACAATTCCGTTTTGCATCTACTTGTAATTAAAAGAAACCTACTTCCTGGGCTAAAACCTGTACAGAAATAAACTCTTATTCTCATAATAATAATAGCTAACATTTAAGTACTGCTTTTCTTTTTTCGTATACTAAGTATTTTACATATACTCATTCTTTTAGTCCTTAAAATCATCTCTAGGCACTCTTACTTACTGGAAAGGGGACTTGGCCTCACGAACAGTAAATGTCAAAGCTAGGATTAAATTTAGGCAGCCTGATGTTCTTCAAACATAAATCTTCTTCCATGAATTTTACATCTCAATTTTCATGCTTTCTTCACATTTTCCTTCCACAGAGACCCATTAAGTTTTTTCTCATCATTTATTATACATCCGCTAACCATGGAGTCTACAACTTAAAATATTCGATCTTCTCTAACAGTTTTGTTCCCATTTTATTTCATCTTGACTAACATAACCTTTAGGGGAAAAAAAACTGACTTAGTGATAAACTATTTTGTAAATGTGCAACTAAGTCTTTTTAAGAAACACCACGATCTCCCTATGTCAGAGTTCCTCTACAGAGATATCCAATTAGAGACGGCATTCTCATTACACCTGCTTCAAACACGCTGTTCCAAAGGATCGATTTCACATGAGAATTACTCTACTTTTCTTTCTTTGCATATAAAACTATTATTTGAAATTTTAAAAAATCCATTCCCTCACTCTGTCAATTTTTCGGTTTCTAAATTCATATACTCATCAACTACACAAATTTTTCCTTTCCTTTTCACTAACTCTCTTAAATGATAGCTTTTTTCACTGAAGGTCCAGCGCCACCTGGGCTGCACTTGCTATTCCGTGCTGGGCTCTGCGTGTTTTTCTGCGAGTGCGCGAGAATCTTCCAGAAGGTTTTAGTCACACAGGAGCGTCGGCCATGTTGATTTTCCTCTCCCGTGGAGATCTACTCTGTCGCCTACGAAACTTGAGACGCTGGAGTCCTTCGGAGCCAGGGCCGAGGCTGCCTGCATCAGGCTCTGAAGAGGCTTTACGTTTCCAAGAGAGGCGCGCTCTGAGGGCTGAGTGGCCCAAGTGACGAGCCCTGCAGTCGCTCCCACTGCGGGGGAGCGTCCGGAAACGACGGCCGACTCGGCACCCTGCTAAGAGGCGGGCGAGGGGCAGGTGTGTCGAGGGAGATTCGAAACCGGTACTTACCACTGCGAGGCGTTGCCTGACTTTTCCTCTGCGGGTTTCAGGAAGACCCTCTGTAGGTTATTGGACATTTTAGAGGGGTGGGAGGGGCCAGCACATCCAGAAAAGTGGGCAATGGGGGGCCGAGGTCCTCCAAAGGGCGAGAACCTGAGCGAGAGAATGTTGGGCTGGAGGTGTCCCGGCGTAACTCAGGTTCGATGCTGAAAGGAGGGCGACAGTCGGGTCTAGAGAGGGCGTATCCCCAGCCTTTGGAAAGAGGCGACGCAGCCACCAGAAACCGGAAGAATCAAAGCGCCTGACGACGCCGCTCCGGCCCTAGCCTCTGAGAGGAGCGACCCGAGTCTCCGCCCCCGCGAGCCTACGACATTGCTCCAGAGCCATCCGGAGTCAACACGGAAGGCGTGGCCTTACTGGCGCCGCCCCTAGCAGTGCCGGGTCCGTGGAGAAGACAGTGCCGGACGGGCTCGGCCGACCCCGCCCACCGAAGCCGCCAGCCGGGCAAAGCTCAGTCAGCCGCTTCCGGGATCGTCACGTCCGGTTGCCAAGGTGACTGGCTCGTTGAAGCACCGCCCTTATGATAGGACCCAATCGCAAGTGAGGTTTGCTATCTTTTCTTCCGGATCAAGTAACGAATCACAAAAGAATATTCTCAAGATACCTACGCAAAATAAAATGTTTCCGGGGTCATTCGTAAATTTTCTGTTTCTGTGTTCGCCGCTAGTGTAAGTTTTTTTTTCCCGCCAGTGCTTTAAAAGATGTCGGAGGGCTCTTTTGGACTCGTTGTGCACTGGTGGTGTGTGAACCTTTTGAACGCCTGCGTGTAGCCAGCGCTCTATTTCTTGCCGCTTTCTGGGGTTTTCGTTTTTTTCCTCTTTCTTGAAGCTTTGCTTATAGTCTTAACCTTTCCTCCACCCCAGGCTTATCTCATTCCTCGGTCAAAATTATTTATGGTCATATGGTTAATTCGTTTAATTCTCCAAAAGTTTCCTTCTCCATATAGATTTTTTTTTTTTATCTTCATTTGGATCTCCAGGGAAGTTCTTTTCAGAAGTCTCTTAATTTCACGTTGTTGAATCTCTTTTGAGAAACGGGTTAAGTCTCTGGCTTAAAGAGTAGACATTTTAGTTCAGCTGGAGCTAGAAGGAGGTTGTGGGAGGAGTGGTTTAGAAGATCGTTTTATCAGGTATAGGCAATAAAAATGTAAGCTGGCTCATACTGACTGTTCAAATTTAGAAGGCTGGCATAAGGTGGCCAATTCAAAACTTTATGTTCGTCTTTTTAAAATTCTGGTTACTCATTCCTCCAACTCTTTAAGGAGCCAGTACCTGATTAAAGAGCTTAATGTCCTGATACATCAACAGAAAGGTTAGTCTCAGCGATACAGAATTCTATATGTGTAACTGGCATTTATCTTTCAAATATCTCCCATACTAAAGGGGCAGGGTGGTGAGCCTTTTATACTGTCTTGGTTTTGGTCATCCTGCGATAATATGTGAAAGCAAATTACTTGAATAATTTGACTATTCTTGGCTTCTTCCATGTTTTTATCATTTATTTCTTACCTTTCGCATTCTCAGTTCTCATGTCCATCATCTCGTCCTATAAATGAAACTCATTTGTCACAGATTGATTTCCCTGTGAAGCAGACTTTTTCAATGTATTTTGGTGTAAAGGAAGTTTATTAGGGATCAGTATTTAGGGAACGGAGGGAAAGGAAGTAAAATTGGGAAAAGGGAGAAGTTAAGTTGTGATGCCCAGTCTCAACAAAGGCCTTAGCCAATTCCACATAGACCTCTAAGATGCGATGTGCTTTCAAAGTTTTTCCCGGTAGGAATGCAGGCTTTGCCAAGGAAGGGTGTATGACCCTAGGCAAGGAGGATCTCTTTAGCCAAGGCAATTACTCAAGGAGGTTAATAGCTGAGACATGTCTGCTGGCAGCACTCCCAGCAACTGGTGGAATAAGACCTTTATTCCTCAAGGGAGGTCCCAGAGATACATCACAGCATCCACAGTACTCATTAAATCCCTCATTCAACTGTTGAAATTAATGCTGTTTATCTCACATTCATTCAGATCTGTATTCAGCAGCACTTTTAATTATTCCTTTACTCTTGATGCATTTGGGAATATACTTTCTTGGTTTTCCTCCTACTTTTTTGTCTATTCCTGTCTTTTTTGGAGGTGTATCCCTCCCTTCTCCATCATTAAATAAAAGAGTTTCTTAAATCTTCATCATTGATCCTCTTATTTTCTCAAACTCTCATGTCTCCTCAAATGATTTATGGCATGCCCATAGCTTTAATCACCACTTCTGCTTATTGAAATACTAACTAAATGCTCATATAATACTATGTGCCAAGCACTACTCAAATATTTTACAAATATTAACTCATTTACTCTTAACAACTAGTAAAAATTACTACAGATAAAGAAACTGATGCACAGAGAATAACATAGCCAAGAATAGATAAAGGGCTGAGAGTAAGACCAAAAGGAAATTAGAGCATATTAAAATATGTATCTCAATAGCAAAAGATAGTGACAAATTTAAGGAACAACTGACAGAAAGGAGTAGATTCGTAAGTCAATACATGTAGAGGAAGACTTTACAAACACATCTCAGAAATTAATAGTTGAAGCAGACAAAAAATTGGCATAGATATCAAATTTCTAAACAATCAGATCAAACCAATAGATATGTAAATAACTTCATTCATTGGATAGTTCACCGTTATTTTTAATTAATTAATTACTTAAGTAATCTCTACGCCAAACATGGGGCTCAAACCCATAACCCTGAGATCAAGAGTTACATACTCTTCTGATTGAGCCAGTAAGACACCCTAGTTCACCATTATTTTTAAGCATATGTAGAATATGTATAAAAATAAGCCATGTATTAGGTAATGAAGCCCTAATAGTTCAAAGAATCAATACTATACAGACTCTGTTTTCTAACTGCAAATTGATTAAATTAGTAGTTCAGGTAATAAAGAATAGCTTTGACACATTTAGAAACTAAATAAGCTATTACTAAATTACCCTTGAATTAAAGATGAAATAATGGAAATTAAGTGACTTAAATATATTAGTCATAAGAATATTATATGAGTTATGCATTCAATTTAAGAAGTATTAGAAAAAACAAAACCAAAAGAAACAAGAATAAGTGAAGTATATAACAACAAAAAAATTTCGTTAAATTAACAAGACCAGAGCTTGTTCTTTGATAAGACCAATGATAGAGATAAACTGTTATGGGGCATGTGGGTGGCTCAGTCGGTTGAGAATCTGTCTTGGTTTCAGCTCAGGTCATAACCTCAGGGTCATGAGATCGAGTCCCACATCAGGCTCTGTGCTCAGTGCAGTCTGCTTGAGATTCTTTCTCTCCCTTTCCCTCTGTCCCTCCCCCCCAAAATAAACAAACAAACAAATAAAATCTGTAAAAACAAGGGATAAACTGTTAGCAAGATTGATCAAGCCAAAAAGATGATACAAGTAGGCAAAATACAGAATAAAAAGGGAAAACTATAAATACAATAGTGATTTTTCTTTGTAAGTATTATGAACAGCAGTTATAATGCAACAATTGGTGAATCCTGCTACAATGATGAACTACCACTAGCTGCTGTTTCCTTTATCTAAATTATAAAAGGAAAACATTTTAAGAACTAAGAGAATTTTTGAAAACTGAGGGAGCTGAATGCTGTTTTATTTTATGTATGTATGTATGTAATTTTTTTAAATTTGATTATATTAGTCACCATACAGTACCTCATTACTTTTTGACATAGTGTTCCATGATTCATTGTTTATATAATGCTCCATGCAGTACCTGTCCTCCTGAAGGCTGTTTTAAAGCGATGAATGTATGTTGCAAGGGAAGAAGGTAGCTGCAGTCTGGGGTGGAGAACAGTTAGCGGACACAGTGAAAGAATAGGTTAGAAAAAGGAAGTTTTAAATTATTCTGTTGTCTCCCACATTGTCTTGGGGTAATCAATGCCTGTCTACTTTCGGAAGAAATTTAAGGAAATAATCCAGATCTCTGGGTAAATCAGCAAAAGAACACTGCTGAGGTGAAGCATGAATAAAATAAATTAATTTTACTGATAGACTCAGGCATTCATTTCTCTATATCTCTCTCCCTCAAAATCCTAAGGAATCACAGTCTAGGGACACAGCCTCTTCCAAAACTACACCTTCTTTAAGGCCAGTAAGACCTTGCCTGGAGGAGTTGGTTGCGGGGGGCAGCAAGTGGAAATAATTAACTGATTTAGGGATCTCTGGAGTTCTGTGTCCTAGAGCTCGAACCCACCCCCTCCACTTTACTAGAAAATGACATAGATAAGGGTCAGGCCTTTGACCCTTACCCAAAACACATTACCAGGTAAAGCAGACAAAAACAACAGGAGAATAGGACATCACAAACCAAAGTAAGTAAAAACTGAAGGAGTAAAAATCCCTCAGAAGAAAGTGGATGGAATGATTGAAACATAATATAACCTGAAGAAGAGTTACAAAACACACCAAAATTTTAAATATGCATTATCAATCAAGTTAAGATTATAAGGTAAATTAAAATAATAGGAAACTGCATCAAGCAAAATCACAAAAAAAGAATAAAATGAAAATATGAAGTGTAAGATATATAAGTTAAAATAAAAAATAGACTACCTGAGATCTATAGTAGATTGCACACAGCTACAGAAAAATGTAGGAAACAGATTAATGAAAAAGTTGAAAGGCAGTAGGAAAGGATAAAAAGAAAGCAAATATAAAAAGAAAAGTTAACATCTGTGTAAGATAAAAGTAGAAGCAGTGTGCCTGGCTGGCTCAGTTGGTAGAGTATGTGACTCTTGATCTCAGGGTTATAGGTTCGAGCCCCATGTTGGGTGTAGAGATTACTTAAAAAAAAAAATCTTTTTTAAAAAAAGATTAAGGTAGAAGTGCCAATATCTAGATAATAGGAATTGCAAAAGGAGAAAAAACAATTTTTTTAAACTCTAAAAAAACTCCAAAAATTATTTTTCCAGGATTAAAGAAAGTAGAAAGATGCAGATGAAAAGAGCCATGAAGAAATGCATACAGGAAGGATGCCTGGGTGGCTGAGTCAGCTAAGCGTCTGCCCTCGACTTAGGTCATGATCCCAGGGTCCCACACCAGGCTCCTTGCTCAGTGGGGAACCTGCTTCTCCCTCTGCCTGCCACTCCCCCTGCTTGCTCTCTCTCTCTCTGACAAATAAATAAATAAAATCTTTAAAAATAAAAAAAAATGAGTAAGGGAGATAAGAAAAAATTGCATAAAAATAATGAATATTTTTAAAAGATTTATTTATTTATTTGAGAGAGAGAGAGAGTGGGGAGGGGCAGAGGGAGAGAATCTTCAAGCAGACACTGAGCTGACCACAAGCCTGAGACAGGCCCGATCCTGCTACCCATGAGATTATGACCTGAGCTGAAACAGAGCTGGACGCTTAACCAACTGAGCCACCCAGGTGCCCCTAAAAATAGTGAATATTAAGAACAATTAAGAATATCAAAAAGAAAGAGAAATTTTTTAAAGTTTCCAGAGGAAGAATATGTTGTTATATAATGCTGCATAAAAAATTACTA